CATTTCCATTTACCAAGAAGGCAAATGTTAAAAATTTCCAAGTCTTTCACTCATAATCCTCCACTCTCTTTTGGCTTACACACAATAAACCATCTCACCTAATGGATTTTTCCTTGTTCCGCCCCTCCACCCCAAAGAAAGGCTCTTTGAATTTTGGTCATAGACACAGAAACAACTTTGAGAATCTTAAAGAAGGAAAGATAAAAGGGGGAAGAGAATATAATACCGATTTTAGTAGAATGAGTCTTCCACCAAAAGAGAGATGTCTCCTTTTTCAAGTAGATAACTTTGACTTCATCCTGTCTTTTATGGGATTCCAAAAGAGAAAGAGGTTTGTATTGGGCCCCAATTGGTATCTCCAAGTACACAAATGGAATAGAAGTAATGGAGCAATTTAAAAACATAGCCATTCTTTCCAAATTTTGTTCCTCAACATGTATCCCTATGAGCTTTCTTTTTGATAAGTTCACTTTAAGTCCTGACACTAGCTCAAAGCACCTAAGTATAGCCTTAAGGAATCTATTTTAAAGATCATGCATTGTTTATGTTTCTTTTTAGCTAGATCTACAATTTTTTTGGCTATTACCACTCCATCTAACATGTTTCTACAGCTTACAAAAGCATATTGGTATTCTGGTATGATGTCACTTATGTCTTTTTTTATTCTTCTAGCTAGGAATTTTGCAATAATTTTATACAAGCTTCCTATTAAAGATATCACCCTAAAATCACCTAAACCCTTTGGACTACTAATTTTTTGAATTAGCACCAAGAATAAGGAATTTGTACCCCTAGGTAATTTTCCATGCTCTTGAAAATCCTGCATTGCTTTGCAGATATCATTTTTCAAAATGTCCCAGCGTTTTTTAATGAATAGCATACTAAACCCATCCGATCATGGACTTTTATTACCCTCATAGCTCCACACTACTTCCCTTATCTCTTCAACACTAAAAGGGCTTGTCAAGGACCTGCGTTGGTGTGTAGTCAATTTGTTGGAATTGAATTCCATCTAGTATTGGTCTATCCATAATTGTTTCTTGAAACTTACTCTTAAAGAAATCCTTTGCCACTATTTTCACCACTTGTGGATCCTCACACCATATCTCGTTCACATCTAATCCTACAATCTCATTCATTTTTCGTCTTCTATTGGCACATATGTGAAAGAAACTAGAATTGGAATCCCCTTCTCTTGCCCGCTTTAGCCTTGACTTTTGTAGTAGAAGGGACTCCTTTTTGTTTAACAAATCCCAAAGTTTTACATTGAGATTTCTCTTGACTGACACTTCCCACTCATTCAGGCTACGGGTTTCCACTATTAAGTCTAGGCTATTGATATTTCTTTTTTACGTCCTCAATATGTGTGTGTATGTTGTCAAATAATTGTTTGTTCCATTCTCAAGTTTTTAAGCTTTTCTTTAAGTATGAATGCCCCCCAACCAATTACTAAGAATCCTTTCCATTTTTCCTCAACAAAACCTAAGAATGAGGGGTCATCAAATCAGTAGTTAAGGCTCCTAAAGGGTTTAGGTCCCAATCTGCCCCGATATCCTTTAACAGAATTGGTTTATGATCTGACACGTCCCTTTGAAGGGCTTCTTGTGAGCATTGGGGACATTGAGTGAGCCACTCATGAGATACTAGGAATATATCAATTCTACTGGCTATTATCCTGTTTGGTCTAAACCGTGTATTTGCCCCCTCCTAGGGGGAGGTTAATCAATTCAACATCTTCTATGAATTTATTGTAGTAGAGCATCTCATTTCCCTCCCTATGGGTATGTACACCTTTCCTTTCTGACTTAAACCTAACTGTGTTAAAGTACACACCATCTCTCACTCCCGTATCTGATTTTTATTTTCCTAATTTCTTCACACAAGTTTTTCTTCCCTTTAAGATCACATGGTGAGTATATATTTACTATGCAACATGGGATTTTATCATATCCCCATTCTCCTACAACCCCAAGAACCCGTCACTAGAGAATGAAGTAATCATTGAGAATACTTGTTTTTCTAACAAATTAAGATTCCCCCTGATCTCCCCTATGAAGAGAGGAAACAGAACTCTATTTCCTTTTCTGCCCAAAATCCACTACAACACTCACTTGTTACCAACTCAATTTTTGTTTCTTGTATGCAAATAAAGTCTAAATTCTCAGACTTAATGAGGGATCTAATGGTCGACCTTTTGGATCTTCCCCCAAGACCTATAATATTTTAGGAAAGGATTTTCATTTAAGACTTGGCTTGGCCCCTATTTTATTCTTGTTCTTTAAATCCTTTTGGTCCCTCCATTCCATCTCAACCATTCTATTCACTATCCCATTTTCATTACCTTTATGTGTTACTCCAATTTGTTTACCTATTGCCTATAAGCCTCTAGCCTCATTCTCTATAATTTGAGTCCTATCAGAGTGGTTATTGCAGTTACATTCTACCTTATAACAAATATGATAGAGAGAGAGGGATGGGTACTTCACCTTACTAGTAGGTTTTGCCTTTTTAATCACTACCTTTTTCCTTTCCTTGGTTGTGGGTCCTTTACTCTTCTATTTCTTATTTTTTGCTTTGTTTTTATTGTTCCATCCTCTTTGGTTATGAACCCAGAATGGTGAGTCTTCTTGATCATTTTCGCTTTGCAATCCTTCCCAGAATTCATCATCATCATTTTTGGTTTGAGAAAAGGTTTTTGAAATTTGGCCTCTTAGTCTAGAAACACCTTCACCAAACAAAGAATGGGGTTTGAAGGCTGGGGATGCAAAACCAGGAAGGTAGGAAAGGGAGGGTGGCAGTGAATGTTGGCGGCGGATAACCCCATCAAGAGGTACAATCTAATTGGGTGGTTGAGTAGGTGAGGCGGAGAGATTGTAAATATTGAGTTTAGACAAAGACCTTGATAGATTTTTATGACTTCCATTGGTAGTCATGACACCTGGAGAGTTAAGGTAAGGCCTCCTATCCTTGTCAAACTTTGTAACCCTTTTTCCAATGGTGCCTTATACTTGTCAATCTTTTTTCCTATCTTATCATTAGTTGAATCCAAATCCATTTCCATTCCAGATTTTGAATTTTGAAATTTGATGAAAACGTATATTAATCGGTGGAAACAAAGAAGTTCAGAGTAAGTTGAAGAGTTTGATCTCATGATTCTTTAAAAGACTTTCATATGATCAAATTAGCTTTTATTTCAAACCTCATCTTCTCTATTTTTTTTTTCCTTATTCCTTCTTGATTTTGAGATCCTTGCTATTTTAATTAATTAAAATCTCATAATTTTAATGAATAAAAAATATATAATTTTGTATAATTTTATGTTGCAATTTATTCATTACCTACCATAGGTATAAATTCATTGGTGTTTCAACTTTTTACATAAACTTTTTCCCTATTGCTTTCTCTTCATTCTCTTCAACATAATGACTTCACTCTCCCGGAGAAACCAACATCGTCAATCACCAGTCTAAAGCAAGGTGGAAAATGGAAGAGAGTTTTCTCTTTGATTTTTTATGTGTTTTCTCTATTTTGATAAATTTTCTTTTAAATGTACTAGTTCATTAATTATTTTATACTTCAATTTTTATGCACGTAACTGTATGAATAAGTTTTAAAGTTGAAGTAGGACGTATGGCTTTATCTTAATTTTCTTTATATAATGTTAAATGGTCATTATTTTAGGAAATTAAAAACCGTTTTGATGTGCAAGTGTTGTTTGGTTTCATATTAAAAAAATTATAATTACAAAATGTATGATTGTATATAAAATAATTATAAATATTGAATTTAGTGTAGTAAAAATATATTATTTATACAAATAGATGAATTAGTTTAATAGATAAATAATTTTTTATTTAAATAAAATAATATAGAAACACGAAATGTCTCAATTTCACTAATTACATATAATGTACTATCCTAAAAGAAAGTAAAAAAAAGGAGATATATAATGACATGATTTGGATACAACATTTTGTATATAGATAATTATATTAATAATCACATAATCTATACTAATATTATTCCTATTTTATGCGCACATTTCTTTTGGATAATTACGACTCTATAACTATTTTGCAAATTACTCTTTCTCTTTTCATAATTTTTTATTTTGATTTTATTCTTTATTTTTTCCTACATTTTTGTGAATTTTACTTTTCAAAATTCTTTAAAAATGTTGAAACAAAAACAAAATACATTTCTTCTCTTAATGCAAAACAATGATCAAGAATAGATCACAAAGTTTTATTTGACATGGTTTGACTTCTAGTTCTTGTGTCCATAAAATGTGTATTATCTCAAAATATATCAGAAGTTTTATGAAAATTCTTCTTACAAGTTTTCTGATGAAAGTTAATAAAATTCTTCTCACAAATTAATTTTGTGGTGAAATTTGATAAATTATCTTTTATACGATCCTTTCTCTCATTTAGGACAATGAATTTTTCTACATGTCACAAATTCTTCTTATTTCAAGAATTTTTATGTATTGAACTAATATCCTAATCTTAAAAGAAAAAATAAAAATTTTAAAATAAGTATAATATTTTTAATTTTAAATAATATCTTAAAAATAAATAATATTATTTTATATCTAAATATTCTTTTAAAAATAAAAAATTTGAATTATTATCTTATCAAAAGATATTATTCTTACAATTATAGCTAATATATATTTTTTTTATTTTTAATGGTTTATAGTTATTTTATTTTTAACTTTTAAAAAAGGTTTATAGAAATCTTCATTACATTAAATGTAAACAATTTATCTTACACTAATTTTAAATATTTAAAAAATCAATACAATTTTTTTATATTTATTTAAAACATTAATAAAATTTATTTAATGTGTTCAAAACATATCCTCATAAGCACACAATGACAAATGTTTTAACTTCACACAAACAAAAAAAGAAGAAAAAAGAAAAAAAAGAAAAAAAAGGGAGGTCAATACAAAGTAGAATAATAGGAAAAGAGGTTCCTTTAAACGCCGTCGTTGGCATCGCCGCCCGCAAGGAAAACACCACACCGCAACAACAACAACAAGAAGAGATAGAGAGAGAAAGAAAAGAAAAGAGAGAAACACGTTGAATTGAATTTTCTAATCTCATCTCTTTTGGACCCCAACAAATAACAAACTCTCTCTCTCTCTCTCTCTCTTTCTCTTTCGTTCTTTCTTTCTCTCTCACACAACAACAACAACCAAACCCTAACGAAGACCTTCTTCATTCTCCCTTCAATTTCAATCCCATGCTCCGCTCTCTTCCCGCACAGGTGCGCTTTAATTTTCCCTTTTCTAATCATCGATTTTTTCGCTTCGCGAATCTTCTGTTCATTTTTTTTTCTTCTTCCGTAAAATCTTGGTCCTGATTGGTCCAAATACGTTGTATTGTTTGATGGATTTTGCAGATCTGGTATTGCCTCCGTTTTTCTGGATTGTTTCGTGTTTTTTTTTTTTAATATTAATTTTTGATTTTATTTAATTTAATTACTCTGCGAGCAGGGGTTTTGACATTTGAAGTTGTGCAAATCTTATTATTAGAGTTTATGAAAATCTTAGAGTTTGTGGAAATCGTAGAGTTTACAAAATTGAGGTCTATGATTTGGTATTTTGGGGTCTGAATGTTATTGAGGGGTTTTTGATCATGGTCGTCGTTTCTTTTTCTATTAATGTTTTGTTGGTCTTTTCAATTATCTGATTGCCGATTGTGTTGATTCATATGAATATTTACTGTGTTGATTCATATGAATATTTGCGATTTGTGCTTTGTGATTGTTGGTTTTGTGAGTTCAGTTTTTGATGCTTGAGTTTATTCATCTGAGACAATCTTCCATAAGAATTTAAATTATTTGGTGTTTTTACTGGAATTTTGTTTTGGGTTTGACTTTCTTGAGGGTTCATTTATAGTCATGTTTTTATTATTAGAGCTTCAGTTTTGTGATGTATGTTGTTTAATATGGTCTTGTGGTTTGTTTCGTTCTAGTCAATCATCAAATTAATTGATCAGTTACTTGCTAACCATTCTCTATGATTTATTGAAGTGAGCAATTTGTAAAGAAGTTGAAAAGGTCTGTATAATTGTTTTTTTTTTGCAGGTTTTATGTAATTTGAGTTCGGTTTGTCAAGAAATAATTGATGGATGATGATAGTAGAAATGGATAAGATGTCTGCTCCTTCATCAAGGGAGCGTGCACAACGCCTCTATGAAAAGGTATTTTTTTTCTTTCTCTTTCTTGTCATTCATTAAGATGGAAACCTTAAAAAAAAGATGAACAATGGTTTATTGGTGTAAATATCTCATAATCTGCAAAGCTTAATGTTGCAGGAATCTGGTTAATTTTAGTTGACTAAAATGCCACTCTTGGTGTTTTGGCTATGTCAAATTTTTACTGTTTGTTCATTAGGAATGAGTTTTTTGTTCTAGTGGGATGAAGACTCTGCATTGCCATATGGAGTTTCTTCATTTTCTATTATTCTGTTTTGGATCAGTGCTAGAGCATGTTAACATCACATCATGATACTCTTAGTTGCCCAGAATTGTCACACTTTTGTCAATTGGGCCCCTAGGTGACTTGGTTTGAACATCTGATGCACAGATATTCAGTTTGAAGCTTTACTGTTTGGCTGTAATGTTGAATGGTATTCCTTCACTTTGATATTTTTCATTGTATTTTAATTTTAAGACTATATGAAGTTAAACTTGGGTTTCTTGCTGAATTGGTAAATCTCTTGTTCACAAAAACTCCACCAGATAAAAGTGACCATATGAAAGACCATAATAAATTGGCATTAAGTAAGAAAATGACAATACTTTGGTGCCAATGCCAATCAGTCGATTGAACACAAATCTGGAATTTTTTTTTCCCAAGACTGAAGTTCTTCATCATTAAATGAATACAGATAATTATTAAGAATTCTTAATGTTCTTGGATAGTCATTTGCTAAACACAGAAAAGAATGACTATACATTAGAATGAAAATTTTAGCAGTTCTTATAACTTGCTACTTTCCATGGTTTTTTTGATTTTAATATTGACTTAAATGAGCTCTTTTTTATGAGATGAATACTAGAGGTCTGTTTAGTAACATTACTATTATTTGTCACTTAGAATCTTGAATTGGAGAATAAGCGTCGGAGGTCAGCTCAGGCGCGGGTCCCATCAGATCCAAATGCCTGGCAACAGATGCGTGAGAATTATGAAGCAATAATTCTTGAGGATCAGGCTTTTTCTGAGCAGCACAATATTGAATATGCTCTTTGGCAGTTGCATTACAAGAGGATTGAGGAGTTTAGGGCATACTTCAGTGCTGCTCTTTCTTCTACAAGTGCAAACTCATCTCAGGGAGCTAAAGGCCCTGCACGACCTGATCGGATAGCTAAAATAAGGCTACAGTTTAAGACTTTTCTTTCAGAAGCAACTGGATTTTACCATGATCTTATTACAAAAATCAGAGCCAAGTTTGGTCTTCCTCTTGGTTACTTTGATGATTCAGAGAATCGAATTGTGATGGAGAAAGATGGAAAGAAATCTTCTGAGATGAAGAAAGGTTTAGTAGCTTGTCATCGTTGTCTGATATACTTGGGTGATCTTGCTCGTTATAAGGGAATGTATGGTGAAGGTGACTCAATTAACCGGGAGTTCACAGCAGCTTCTAGTTACTACTTGCAAGCTGCATCTCTTTGGCCTTCTAGTGGCAATCCTCATCATCAGGTATTTTGGCAGTCCTGCATTCATTGTGATTTGTGATGGTTGCTTTTGCTTTATGTTTTATTCCCACTTTAATGTCTGTATTTTTCAGCTTGCTTTGCTGGCCTCATATTCTGGGGATGAGCTGGTGGCTATTTATCGATATTTTCGGAGTCTGGCTGTGGATAGCCCATTTACAACTGCAAGGGAAAACTTGATAGTTGCATTTGAGAAGGTAATGTGACAATGGCCCATGGGTTTGTTCTTGTTATTGGTTATAAGTAGTTTGCGTTTTTTTCTTTGTTTTGACTTGTTTTTCTGCCTTTGTCTTTTTTATATCTTGATTATTGCTTGCATACTAAAGTATTATTATGAGGATGGGATTTAGTCATACTAGTGTTTGATGCTGAAAATTAAGTGCATTAATAAATGAGTGGTTATAAATTTAATATTGGTTGCAAAGTAAAGCCTTGTTATCTTTACACATCTTGGGTGTTCATGTATGTATTTTGAGCAAATAATTATATTGATTTGGTGGTATAAAAATCTTCAAAGAAACAATGTTGTGAAAGCTAGTCTGTATTTGGCCAGGACCACTCTGGGCCTAAAGAATATGTTCATTTTCATACTGTTGTTGAACACCCCCCCCCCCCAAAAAAAAAATAAAAATCTTCAAAGAAACAATGTTGTGAAAGCTAGTCTGTATTTGGCCAGGACCACTCTGGGCCTAAAGAATATGTTCATTTTCATACTGTTGTTGAACACCCCCCCCCCAAAAAAAAAAAAACACACACACATATCCAATTTTCACCCTTCCGTGTTATTTATGATCTCTGATCCTTTTGGGGCATTACATTATAATTATTCTAACTAGCTATTGTTACAATTCATGATAGAATCGTCAAAGTTTCTCTCAGCTTTCTGGTGATGCTAAAGCTCTTGCAGTCAAGGAATCTTCTGGACGATCAACTGGAAAAGGAAGAGGAAAAGGGGAAGCAAAACTTGCAACAAGGGGTACCAGTGTTGATGCCAGTCCTAAACCAGGAGCATCCAGTACAAAAGAAACTTATAAATACTTCTGCACTCGCTTTGTCCGTCTAAATGGAATCTTGTTTACACGCACAAGGTCTATATTCTTAACTTTTTCTCTCTGTATTATCACTGGTGATTCATATGTTCTTCTGACATTTCCCCTTTGTTTCTCAAATACCTTGATAGCCTTGAGACCTTTGCTGAAGTTCTTGCTGTTGTAAGCACTGGCCTGCGTGAGCTTCTGTCTTCTGGGCAAGATGAAGAGCTGAATTTTGGGACAGATACTGCTGAGAATGCGCTTGTCATCGTCAGAATTGTCTGCATTCTAGTATTTACAGTTTATAATGTGAACAAGGAATCTGAAGGCCAAACTTATGCAGAAATTGTACAGCGTGCTGTTCTGCTTCAAAATGCATTTAGTGCAGCTTTTGAATTGATGGGTTACATAATAGAGAGATGTGCACAGCTGCAAGATCCTTCTTCTAGTTATCTTTTACCAGGCATTTTGGTTTTTGTTGAGTGGTTGGCTTGTTATCCAGATCTTGCTGCAGGCAATGATGTGGATGAAAATCAGGCAACTTTGAGATCTGAATTTTGGAACCATTGTGTGTCCTTATTGAATAAGCTGTTTTCAGTTGGGCCTATGTCTATTGATGATGATGAAGAGGAGACTTGCTTTAATAACATGAGCAGGTATGAGGAAGGGGAGACTGAAAATCGACTTGCTTTGTGGGAGGACTCTGAGTTAAGGGGATTTGTTCCACTTCATCCTGCACAAACCATCTTGGATTTCTCAAGGAAGCATTCCATTGGAAATGATGGTGACAAGGAAAGAAAAGCTCGGGTCAAAAGGATTTTAGCTGCAGGGAAGGCTTTAGCAACTGTTGTAAAGGTTGATAAAAAAATGATATATTTTGATTCAAAGGCGAAGAAATTTTTAATTGGTGTTGAGCCTCAAACCTCAGATGATTTTGTTCTTGCCACTTATTCAAGCATGCCAAATGCAAATGGGTTGGTGCACGAAAATCTGGCAGACAAATTAAAGATGGACACTGTTCAGTCAAACCAATACCAGAATATGGAAGGAGATGATGATGACGAGGTTATTGTTTTCAAGCCTTTAGTGTCTGAGACACGAGCTGATGTGGTTGCCTCATCATGGGCACCCCATGTCGGTTTGGAGCCTGTTCCAAAGGCATCTGGAGGGGATTTCAATTTTCACGTTAATTCTACTTCCAACCCTCTTATTAATCCAAGTCATCAAACTTCATCTGTGCCTGGTAGTGGTATGGTGCCTCAACACATGCAACCAGTTCAGCCACATACATCACGGTGGTTAGATGAGGAAATATCTCTTGCTAACAATTTAAAAGGTCTTGGGCTATTTGAGAATGGGCAGGTGATGAAACCTGGCTTACAAGAAGCTGTTGGCTTCTCTAGTCATGTTTCACTTCCTATTCCTATCCAACAATCTATAGGTGCTGATACTAATGGCATGTTTTATGGTCTCTCAAAAGCTTTGGAGTCTGTGGTACCATCCAAAGTTGATGCTATTGCATCTTCTGGAGTACTTACTGATAATTTAGCTGTAAAAACATCAGTTTTGCCAGTTGGTTTAAGAAAAACCCCAGTTAGTCGACCTACTAGGCACCTTGGACCTCCTCCTGGTTTCAGTCCTGTTCCTCTGAAACTAGGTATTGAATCCACTGTTTCAGATTCAATTAGTGGGAATCCAATTATGGATGATTACAGTTGGTTGGATGGATATCATTTGCGTACATCAACAAAAGGATTAGGCTCCAATGGTCCTCCTCTTAACTACACTCATTCAAATACTCAGCAAGTCGTTAGCAATGGTTTTAGTCCTACTGTCAGCTTTCCTTTTCCTGGAAAACAAGTTCCATCTGTGCCTCCTCAAGTGGAGAAACAGAATGGTTGGCAAGATTATCAAACTTATGATCTTTTAAAATCACATAATGATCAGCAACTGCAGCCACAACAGCTCACAACTGGAAATCAACAGTTCTCTCCTATGCCTGAGCAATTTCAAGGACAGTCAATCTGGACAGGTCGTTACTTTGTGTGATGTCAGTATGAGAGTATAGATGGTATGCTTCTGGCATTGAATTATTTATTGCTTTTTGTTTATTGTTTGTTTCTTATTTTTTTGGAATTGCTAACATAGTTATGTATTTGAGGACCTTGAAGGCATATTGCGAATGTGCTGCATCCTTTTGCTACTCGTTCAAACTCCAACTTTGCTGCCTCGTCACTGAATTTTGTTGGAGTTTCTCTGGCCTTGACTTGTTGCAGGCACTTGCTACTACAAAAGGTGAGTACAAATTCTTCTACTTGTTGATATTTGCAATTGTATACAACTTGGAAAGAGGACAATATTGTAAGTCCCACCTATGATTTCACTGTTTATTTCTTGACATTGCTGTTTTGGTTTGGCATCTTAATGTTGCTTGCATTGCATAGTCTTAAGGAATTATGGGCGCTTCCACTTACTTGTGTGTTGTACAACTTTGGCAAAGTATTACAGATTATGCTGAGCTCTTCAGCCCGGACGAAGGAAGATAAAATGCATCTTTACAGTTCAAAGTTGGTTACGAAGTAAATGCCTTGTCTGGTTGGTTGGGGTGGATAGGTGGTGATAAATAAAGACTACAGTGGTGATGGAGCTTGTATCTTCTGGGATTGGTGGTGTCGCAATGGTTTGTTCACTTATCTAGTGGAAATGTCATAATGATGCACCTGTAAAAATCGTTGTTACCATCATTTGGTTGCAAGTGATACATAGTGCTAGCCCTTTTTTCTGCCGCAATGCTTCAGACTATATAGTTGGAAAGGTTGGTAGATAAGAAGTGGGTGTCAAAGTTGGATAATGGGATAAGATATTTGACATTATGGGGCTCACTTGTTGAGCACGTCTTTAGTTGTTGCTTCTTCGTTAAGGTTCTTATTATGTGTTGTGTATGTATGACGAGTGGTATGTGGTTCACTTTCTCTTTTTCCTAAGTCGAGGGGTTGACTCGAACTTCAAAATAAATAGGTGGATTGTTGAATGCATATCCATCTTGGTCTGTATGAGTACAATATGATATATCTATCCATAGTTGGAATTACCTTATTTTTATGTTACGCTGTGAATGATTTTCACATTTTTTTGAGGGTTTAAAGAGGGATGTTGTTTGGACGGAGGGGAGGATAAGGATTCTACTTTAAGCAAGCGTTGCTCGTGTTTGTTGGCTTGTCAAAGTGAAGTAATTACTGATTTTATATAAACCTTTACGCAATGTTCCTTCAAAGGAAATGAAGGGAAAAGAAGAAAGGAAATAGAAGTTTTTTGTTGTATGGTTTGATTATTTATTATTATCATAAAGGGAAGGAATAAAGCCCGTTTGTTTTTGTTTTTATGTCACAAGTCATTATTATATTTTGATCATTTCAAAAATCTATTTATCTTTTATATACGTAAATTTTTAGTTTTAATTTTTGTGAGAGGTGTTGGAGGTTGGGACGGCGACGAGCATGCTTTGGTTATTAATTATTGCTGATTCAAAGCAAGTTTTGGTGCTGAATTCATGGAGATGGTTAACGAAAACACAAAAGTAGGTCAATTATGCTGGTTTTACAATTACAAAGGTTTTTGTTATGAATGAAATCTATAGGAAAAAAAAAACAGTTCAAAACACTTGGGTTTTGCAATTATAAGCCATGTCTGGATTCATTGGTCGTATAAATGGAATGGAATGAATTGAAATATAATAGGATGATATCAATTATAATCAAACAAAAAAAGAATAAAAATGTCATTGTTTAGAACAAAATAAGAATGGAATGGGATAGACGAGAGTGGATTTGCACGTAATTGAAAAATTTGGAATTGCTTGGAGAGAAGTGTGAGGGTTTAAGAGCAAATAAGAGTTACTCACGTCAATATATATCTATCTATTTATCTATATATATATATAATTTATTTTTTAATAATATATTTGAATTTAATTATTTTAAACGATATAACTTAAATTTTAATAGTAAATTGTAGAATAACAATTTTAAATATTTATTAGTATTTCAGTTTTTTCATTATGTATTATATATATTAAAATTTATAATATATTATATATAAATAAATATTATGTTTGAATATATAAATAATATTTAAAATTTATATTATGGCAAAAGTATTATTTTTATCTATTGATAGTTTATTTTAAAATATTAAAATTTAATTCATAAATAACCATTAAAAAAACTGAATTCAATAAGAAATTAAAAAAAAAAATTAAAAATTTTTCATTAAAAAAATTCCTAAAAATACTTTTGTACATGATTAAAATTTGTATTTAATATAAAGGGTTGATTTAATAAAAAGTAATTTAAATAATTTATTTTTACAAATGTTTAAATTATATATAAAATACAATTTAAAGTTCTAACTTCTATTTTTCATCTAATTTCACTTTATCAATCCACTACAAGTTTTACTTTATCTCTTTCCTATTTTTCATCAAATCATTTCTCAACAATTCTTTCTTTCCCTTTAATAACCTCCCTCTTCGAACAAAGCATATCTGTGTGATTATTATGATAAAGTAAAATTTGTAAAGATAAAATAGGGATTTTATAATCCAAGAGTTATGTTTCATCATGTGCACTCCAAATCAGGAAAAAAAAATTGGGGTTAAGCAAGAAAATATAATGGATCGTAATCCATTTTCTTCTATTATATATGTTCCATTCTTGGTTTTTTTTTTTTTTTTTTTTTTTTTTTTTTTTTTTTT